GGATCAAGATATGAAAAGAAAGGGCACATCATAGGCATACATGCAAAGTATGCTATTGAAAGCCTAGCTTAGACAAAACGTCGTCTCTACATCAATTGAAGTGCATACCCCACCCGTCTTTCATGTTTGAGCTTCTGTGCACTAATTAATTACTGGAACTGTATAGTTGAAGAACTACACATTCAAAACAGACAATACTTCACAAGCTCTCAAAAACCTGTGTGTAATACAGGAAACCGTAATTTTCGGTTGTCATGTCACAGAGGTAGAGGTTTTCAAGAGGGGGATTTCCTCCACATGTACCTTAATTCGGCATAAGCCAATACACAACAAATTCCACAAACCTACTCGAAATTAACGTTCCTATTTTTTGTTGTCAAATGATTGTTTATAATGAAACTCTAGTAGTTACCGCTCGGCACTGCAGTTCGGGGTGGAGGAGGTAACGGCGCGCCTGTTTTGATGGCATAATCGACCTTTTTTGATGAAGAAACTGCATCGATAAACGTCTCATGCCTCTCCTTCCAGTTAGTCTGAGGGCGTGGGTAGACTCCACCAACCTGTAAATATTCAGGAAATCACGTGTAAGCCTTTTAATGCAGAAGCTGGTGACACGAAAAATCGATTATCCTTGCTGTATATAAAGCGCTGTGCCTGTCTGTCTGTTTGTTTGCTTGTACGGAACTTCTATATAACCTGAAGAAACACCTGGAGAAGTCGGGTCAAGTTCGGAATAGGTTGAGCATGGGGTAAGTGCAACAGAGCACATGTGAGTTTAGCGAAGCTCCGCCTCCAGTGGGCGAGGCATGCGCCGGAATTGGGCGGGGTTGTGGGGTCATTTTTCTCATTCGGTCTCATAACAGTCTAGACGCCGGGAAAAAATATGCAAAGGTGAGGGATGGTTCAACAGCTGAGACAAAGGAAACCCGCCGGCGGTGGGCGGGGCGTTCTCGCAGTAGGCGGTACTTNCCGCAGAGATTCATAAATCGATTCAACGAAGGCGTCGAGGCCAGGGAAAAGAATAAAAGGATTGGGCAAGGCCTCATGCGTGCTGGGCATGCGTAAGCTTAGCGAAGCCTTGCCCACGATGGGCGGGGCGTGCGTTGAGGTTAAAGCTACTTTTGAAAAATAAGTAAACTTCGTTTGGAAATGTTCTAGAACGCGAAAAAGTTAGAGGTAATGAAACAAATATGGCCAAATCCTCGAAGCGGGCGGGTCTGACACTAAAGTGGGTAGAGCTTCGATCAAAATTTCATAGCTCTGTTCAAAAACGTTCTAGAATGCGGGAAAAAGTGGTTAGAGGTATTGGAACAAATGTACTTAGGTCCTCGAAGTGGATGGAGCTCTCACCGGAAAGCGGGGCTAGCACCAGAAATTCATCTCTTCAAACTAAACTTTCTAGAATGCGGAGAAAATGGCTAGGAGCAGTTAAAAGAAGGGTGGCCAACTTATTATAGTGGGACGGGTCTGCACTGAGGTGGACGGAGCTATGATCAACCACTAATAATACTATCTTATTCCGATAATCCAACATCCCGCTGAATGACTCCATCGCAGGCAAGAAGTCGTCGACATATAATGCACACGTTAGCTTGCGTAGCCCAACTAGTTAGTCATATTCCCAGGTGCCGGTTCCCCAGAAATTGGAAACGGCGCCGAAGCCGGAGTGTCAGTAAGTGTAAAAGGGTGCTCAAACCTGAATAAAGCAGTATCGTTTGCAGAATGATTATGGTCTCGAACAGCAAAGCCTGTTTCTGGTATTGCTACCAGAGAAGGCTACATCACCTCATGAGGTCAAGATAATTTGATTCTTTCTCATTTATCTGACATTGGTCGACGTCTTCCATGGATGGACGTAAGCCACGAATTGAATGAGCAAGAACGCTCTCAAAATAAGGGTGTAAAAGCCTTTAATTTGGGAGCGTCTGAGTAAGGCCGTAGCAACATACCACTATACGTCACAGATTCTACCTACATCTGATACTCATTTAAACACATATGCGATAAAAGACCTTTCTATTAAGGTAGGCAAATGATTGCGTCTAAACAGAAGTTGGGTTTAACTTCTAAACACTTTCAAGAACTGTTTTATTGCCAGTGATATAGGAATATTGTATTTCAAAGACATAAAAATGGCCTCACTCATCAGTTGATGAGGAGCTATTTTCACATTTTGGACTCCCAACATTTCCTAAAATTGCTATTATTATTTCTGTAATTGCTACATTCGTCATACACCTTACAATTAGACGCTTTTATCGTTTTCCGTATTGTTTCGAACGACATTTAAAATAGAGGACACAAGGTGAGTGAACAGAGGAAGGACATGTCTGGAAAGTTCTTGTCATAAACTGAGCTGTATGGATGCGCGAGCCACAATACCATTCGTGAGGGATCGTCAAGATTCAAGCGGTCAAACGTTTGATGTTAACGCATAACCGACCCTTCCATATTGGAATGGCGAAATCTACCAAACCTGTGTTCGAAAACACATCAGAGAGCAACACAAGCAAATCATGTAACACAGTCGTCTTCCCAATTTGACTTTTTACCAAAGGCTGTAGCGCGAGTGAACCGTCCTTCTCTCATCTCTGAGCGATTTTAGAGTTCAACCACGTTCGTTGTTTCAATCGACTACGGCCGTGTTGCTGTCCACGCGTTGACAGCGCTCATACGACCCTGAACCTGTTCTACGTTGTCAACATGTGATCAGCAACGCGGTTGGTCATTCACTCATCGGCTGGGAAACTCACGTCGTTGAACTCTGAAAACACGCTCTTCCACCTTTACATTGCTAGCAAGCCGTAAATTTCGTACGAGAGATCTGCTCATTGATACTTTAAATACGCGTAGCGAAAACAAAAACACACCTTCTCCCGCTCCCTTTGAGCACGTTTCACGTCTGCATACGTAATGTCGCTCCCTGTTGCACGTTGCTTTCCGGAATCGAATGGTTTCCTGTTGAGTTTGCTCAGTTTCTTGCACGCCGGCTCATGTTTGACCTTAACTAGAGTTAGGTTCGGCGATGCAGCGTAAACAGTATCTCTTAGCCAAGAACTCGTGTTCTCGAGACATAAAGGCATTGCCAAAAACAGGATCAGTTTAACTCTTCTGATATTACCTAATTCTTTAGCACATTGNCATTGACGTGGCAGGGCGTGGGTTGTGGGGTGTACAAATGAAATAGTAGATGAATGAAGAACAGAGATTTACTTAAAGCCACGAAGTAAAAGCAAGCAAGCACCCACTCTGAGATACCTCACGGTGGATGCTTTTTAGCAAATATTGATGTCTGATGACTTTGTTCCTAGATCACTTTTTATCGCGACCATGCCGAGTATGGCCGCCTCCTATAGTAAGTAAGTATATATTCATTCGCCCGTTTGGAGATGCGCCCGACAAACTGCGCTGCGAAATTCGAGGCGACGTGAATGCCTATGGCGCCTATTATTGAGGCACAGGTTTAAAGCAGAGTACCCTAAAATTCCATAGATAAGAGTCAAAGCTGTGCCCAAATGATAGATGTCATAGTCGTCCAAATCGCCTCGAATTTCGCTGCGCAGTTTGCCGCGCGCATCTCCAAACCGGCGAACGTTCCGTCCCCCATAGCAAGCAGGTACCATACTCCGCCTTTTTTTGATTTACCGTTTATGTGGAAAACCCTTTGTTATAGATTTTAATATTCTTCATTTGCAATTATGCATTAAGATAAGCCAGATAGAGAGAAGAAATGTGCCGACGTTTATAGGTTGTCGCATTTGGACACCAAGATAAGCATTAAATAGCTTTCACACACAATTTACGATGCCAATTAACCCCAATTACAGCTATGAATGTCAGATGTGAGTATTCCATGATGTCGTACTACTTGTACGTTGCTCGGGAACGTCTCTAGAGCAAAGTATCCGAGCAAAAATATGATTGAAACCGATTCAGTTATCTGAAAAGCGGATTCATTCGAGAGCAGAAGGTAATTGTTTGCAATAATCAGAATGGGCATAGTCATAAACAAGGTGTTTCTTATAGTGTAGATTAGAAGGCCTCTATAAAACAGTGAGCACTGCTGTTCATGGTTATTACTATTCTCATCTTGAGAAGAAGAAAACATAAAAACTCACCAAGCTGGTCTGAATAAATCTTCGACCACAAATTTTGCAAGGAAACGTAGGCTCATCCTGGCTTACATCTGAATAGGTGAAACGGTTTCTGGTAATAAAACGCCGCAATAATGCGACCATTACTCTAACTGGTTTTTATAGAGCAGCTTTCCCTCCGTGCGAGCAGGTCAAAATAGGAAATGGTGACGAATTGAGGCTAACGCGCTAAACATGCTATACAATATAGGACCAACCTCGCTCTGGCATGGCAAAATCGACGAAGAATGGGGTTTACTATTTCGTTAGCCTTCGTAACCCTGGGCAACAGACTACTCCATGCGTTAAAGCTAATATTGCCTCCGTTGCTAGGAGTCCTTGTTTCATCAACTTCCCCCCTCTCTCATACCCCTGCCCTCTTTTCACTAATTTCGAGAGCTCTTCTGTACAACAGCTTCGGAAAACTAGTGACCAGAATCAGCCTATCAGAATGTCGAACAGCTCATTTACCAGCAAGCCGCTGCACATACTCCAACACGAGTCTGAGACTTGTCGAATATCAAAAGGGTGATACTAATACTCTATTTGTGTTAAGTTGCAAGAACTAAATTCATAATGATCCAGTCATATTCATGCAAGCTCATTGTTTTGAATAGGACAGGCTAAAGACACGAGACACTTCTATTTGAGATTCGTTGAATCATAACTGCGTATGGCTACTTCCCGGTTGTCACGCTTCAAGCAAGCAGCTGGGTGAAGATTTCCGCTACCGAGGAAGACGTATGTAATCTGTTCAAAAGTGGTCTCTACTTAGAAACTTTATAGGATATGTAGAGACTGGTGGTTCTGCTCAATGAGAATTGGAGTACATTGCTGGGTTTTCAGGGAACGTCGTGATATCATCTACTCAGTTGTCTAAAAGGTTTTACCGATTATAGCATCCCATGGGTGTTGCCTTTCGAATGATTCACTCCTGCCAAATGTATCTCCGCCCAGATCAGTCCATTGGTATTTTCAGAAATAACACCGGTGTGTGATTTGCTTGTTAAGAAGGGACTGTTCGATCGTAGCTCTAAAGAGAGCCAATATTTTCTCAGTTTCATATCAATAAAAAACAGCTCAGACACTATTATTAGTCAACTCTTCTGTGCCATATAGGTTTTTAATGGTGGAATCTTTATTCGCTATTATTAGCTCAGATACTATTACTAATGAAGTCACACTACGGACCACGCTAACACCACGAGCTTTCGCTGCAGTTTTTCGCAGTCAAAAATGCTGTTCTCCATAATACATGACTGACGAAAGAGTATGAAATAGCTTCGCGGTCAGTCAGTACGATGCCATTCTGTTTGAAGACTAAGGTCGTCTGAACTCTGGTAAATGAAAAATGAAGTAAGAATATCAATTGTTTTTTCCTCAAGAATTCCAAATGCCATTTAATATCCCTACGCATTTTCGTTAGAACATTTAAGGTCATTTGACCTCAACTTCAGATTTCCATGCTCATTGTATTGTGATTCAATAGCTTCTCTGCATCTGTTAAAATCATTAAATCATGATTCAAGTATTAACCTGATAATAACCGTGTGCTGTCTGACAGTTGGTTCACCTTGTGAGCTCCTAGGATGCGTATCGAAGCAAATGCATGCTAGCTTACTACCACCTATGTTATGAGCGCTTTTTTTCTGTAGAGATATTTGCGTATACTCATGGAACTACTCTATCGCCGTGCAAAGCAGTGATCGTTTTTGTTCTACTGCGTCGTTCCGAAAGTAATTTCGGTTTTCGTGACAATTTTTCTAAACGCTTGTTCTAGAAGCTTTTGAAAACTTCGAACGCTTTTCATATGATATATACTACAGATGTATACTCGCACTTTTTTAAAGGAGAAAGAAAGAAATTCATCTCCATTCATTATTTTAGCACCAGTTCGAACATGGAGTGTCAGATTGAGCATTTCCGGCACATTTCACTTTTTTAATTTTATCCTGTTTGAGAAGCGGCTTGTATCTTCATTGACTTTGTTAGAACATAAGGTGAAAATGTCTTATCACAGAGCGCGTGTGGAAACCGGCCCACAACTTTTTGTCTCAGCAATTTATCTGTCGAAGGCCTGGCCATTAGGCATGGATGACGAATTTGTGATGGTATTGACCGAAACCAGTTTTCATGTATCCCATGTAGATACTTACCGAGTAGACCAACGCATCCGAGGAAAGAGCTGACGAGAATATCGAAAATTTCGGACTGGGAAAAAGGCCAGGTTCAGGGATATACACGTGACGCCGCGAGATAGCGTGGACGGTTTGAGCGCAATAAAGACCACCCATTTATGATTGTGGTTGTTGATAAAAGTCGGAATGTTCCAATATTTTCACTCACAAACGATTACGATGAATGTACGATGGACCTGCTCGATCGAGGTCCAAAGCGGATTTTCATCAAACGAGGGTCACGACACCAATTCGATTGGATTACGAGGGCGATATGTAGTTCAAAGTGCTTCCAGGGAATCAGAATGTTAACATGGATTTCTACATATTGAAATTTCATGGAGCGGTTGAAAAAGCCTTCCAACATTAGCGAGTCGCAAAGGGGGTAATGTTATGCTTGGCTAAGTCTGATCACATACATTTTTGGGTGACTCGGCGAAAATTACCGAAGCTTGGCTGGAAATTAATGCTTCATACATCATAGCCCTGATCTCGCGACTTCCCCATCCTACTTATTTCGATCGCAGCAGCAAACCTCCAATGGGTGATTGTGGGTCCGGTATTTTCTCCCCGAACACTGCGTCGCGCTCGCCCCATCTGCCCGCCCCGCATCGCAGAAAGCGATGGGAGATTGGGACGTGCAATTTTGAGTTAGGGAGTCCTCTAATCATTTGAATTTGCTGTGCTGACCGCTCCCTTCAATTCCCATGCCGTCTTGATCATCGATAATTTATATAAGAGGAGTCATTCCAAACAATCAAGTCTAATAAATATAAAACGGAAAAGAAACAAAGAAAAACCATCGAAGCAATCAACGAAAAATATTGCGTCCTATTGATCGGTGGGGACTGAGTACGGTAGTTGCAGTTTAGAGCCGCGGGGCAACTAAAAAAGATTGGCCGCATGCCGCAAAACGAACGTGAGGAATCGGGAGAAGTTCCGTCACTCGATAAACGTCATGGAAGATGAAGGTATCAAAACTTAAGTGGTCCACTTTTTGGCCAAAAAACCGGAACTTCCGCGAGGGACGAGTTATCAAATTGCCACAAGGAAGGCAGAAGATGACAGACCAAAACCAGGTATATATCACTGATTAACCTTCGTTTGGAAGGCAAAGAAAATTGTTCTGTGAAAGGCTCAAGAATCGANTGCACTTTCCGAACAACCTAATAATACAGCACCATAAATATGGTAACAAAACAATTGGGTTACAGGAGTCGCAGTTCATATTGATACATGTTGAATTCATGTGAGATATTTACTATGCATCTCATCTACAAAACGAACGCACGGTCATATAATATAACCGTCTAGTGTCCTAATCATAGCTCGGATATGCTTCGATCACAGAGCGATGGCGGCACAGAGTTAAAAAAAAAAACTCCAGTCCGGGCTTTTTTCATCGACTTTTTAGGAGCAGCACTAGTAGTGCGTTTTGTTTAATGGCTACGAGAGGCAACCGACTTTTCTTAGCGGCTTCAGCACTCTTAGTGTGAAACATACGTATACTCTGCGATCTTAGCATTTCTTCCACGCTGAACATCATTTCGTCAGAAAAAAGTGTGTCAAAGCGCGTGCCACGAGGAAGTGGCGCACATCACTTGTTTTTTGCTCGAACTTCTCGTCATGAAGCGTACAAGGCTTTCGAGTCAATCCTACCTGAATACAATCGCATTTACTTGGGGTAGACTTTCTTTATCGAAGTAGAACATACAACCAAATCAGCACTCATTTTTCTCGTGTTTCTGCAGGTTCCGTAGCATAATTTTCTCCAGCAATTGTATTCGGAAAAGAGATCGTATGTGAGACAAGCCGACTGTTTTGAGGTTTGTCGTTGACTTGTCTACGCATCACGATTCAAGAGACTGTCATGCGAGAAATGTCGAAACGAGGAGCGAGCCCGGAAAAGGACCCAGGAAATGCGCGCAGAGACGGAGGGGTTAGTGGATGACTCCGAGGCTCCACCATTCTTCGAAATTCGGCGGATTGAGAGCACAAAAGCAGATATGTGAGCTAAGGTATATCGTAAGCTTAAAGGAAAATGCAGATTTGAAGAAACCCCTTAAACAAGGAAATTGCGGACGTAAGAAAAGTTGTTACCATATTTATGGCCCACCCTGTATATAATATACTTGTATAATGAATACAACATTAGGCACGCATTAGTTCCTCCGAAATGAAATTTTATTCATGCTCTATTAATTGGAAGCACCGTCTTTTTTTTTTCCTGAGAACGCTATTGGTGGGTGGTGATCCCCTCGTCAGTGTATCACTGACATTTGACCGCCCTCGCGAACTCCTCCAGTTGTTAGCTCTGTGCTTGCATGCTCTTGAATCGCTAGGAGGATACTGACTTATTGGCACACTAGCGCGCATTTTCTGCCCAAGACACCCAACATGGGGTCCCTGAGGCTGAAGGCTCACGCAATGTCTGATAAGCTTCACTAATTGTGAGCTACAACAGATGCATGTAAAGGTGATCAGTGCGTTCATGACAACAAACAAGCTCAACCTCTTGCGTAGACTATTCAGTAGAGTCTAATTGCTAAGCAACTGAAAAAAATGTCAGTTGTATCTTCAGCACCCTTTTACCAGCCCTTTTTCCAAGTCACAAATGCATTTCACAATAATCATGCATATAATCATTTCAAAAGAGTGATCAATCACTTAAAGATTCATTAGTCATGAAAACAGCTTTTCACATCGTCAACTGTAGCGTTCATTCTTTTACAGACGCATAAAACAATCGGAAATATTACAAATTGACAGCAGCGAACTTCTCAGCACGTGTGCATGTGGTGCGTGTGTGTATGTGTGTGTGGCTGTATGTATGTATGAGTGTGTATACATATATAATATATATATGTGTATGTGTGTACTTTCTGATTGCTTATGCTTCGCTTCCATCATCACCTCCATCATCCATTGGTCCTGCAATAGCAATTTTTTTATGCATGCGAGAAACCATTAGGTAATGCTAGTAAGTTCAGATAAGCTAGAAATTGTAATCTGGGAATGAGCATCATTCAGCAGAAACACAAAACGTACTAAACGACCCTCGCCAGTTGCCTAGGCCATTTTGCCGAATTATTTCAGCCGCAGTCGATGCTCGTTTCAAAATGATATGCTTCTTGAAAATGCGGGATGAAATGCGTCACTATCAATAATCACAAAACTATCTCCACGTATTAGCTGAAACGCATTTTAATGGATAAACCCAGCTTAGCGACCACCGATAAACGATATGAGACCTTCTCCCTGTACGAATGTGCTCATCGCTCCTTTTCGAGTATTATACTTGACCCTGTACTAATATCTGTGCGAAAATGTGAGCAAGTTTGTTCGATGATAAATCGAAAACATGCTGGTTTTGAATCTACAGTCGACCTTCCATGAGACTCTTGCTTAGTCTTGTTAATAATCAATGACGAACCTTCGATGTTCAGAGTTAGCTCTACATTAGCTTCACCAGCCTCGTTCTTGATATTGCACGTGTACGTTCCAGAGTCCTTGGCTTTGTAGTTCTAAACTTAGGCATTATCAAGTTGAGGCTAAAAAAGCCTCCATCGAGGATTTGATAGATCGACCTTGAGCTCCAGTTTAGCAGTGAAAGTATTGTTAGGTCCATCAGGTGAGGTGAGGAAACGGATCCGGGTCGACTCCTTCATCTTTTTTCCTTTGGGATTGATCCACATCACCTAAAGAGAATCATAAGATTGGAATCCAAATATCATGTACAGTGTAGTACAGAAAAAAGAAGCCTGACCTCGGGATTACGATCGGCTTGGTAACCAATATCGAAAACAATGGCTGGATCTCCAGAATCAGATGTAACTTGTAGAATTTGGGGTTTTCGTGTAAATGTCGGCGCACCTTGAGGAACTGCAAAAAATACGTTTTAATTTTCTTCCGCTCAAAATGAGAAAAGGATACAGGTATACCTTCAAATTTCACGGTGAATGTGGCCGTAAGCTTTCCAGAGTCATTTTTAGCTGTGCATATAAACTGTCCAGCATCTTTTTCTTTCGTAGGCTCCTGAAACTCACTTTTTATTGATGGCAGTAACCGTTTTTAATTGGTATCCATGACTGAGCCAACCTTGATTTCCAGTGCAGCATAGTAAATCTGGTTAGCCTCCTCCCTTAGAACGATATTCACACGGTCGGACTGCGCCACGATTTCGTCTCCCTTCAAAATTTGTTTCTTTTAGTTCAGTATGCTAAAAGGAAGTGAAAGAGAAATTCGAAAGAGCTAGAGGCGATCACGAAAAGCAATATTACTTTGTGCCAGACAAACGTGGGTTTCAAGATAGATTTTGCTCGGAACTCCATAACCATAACCTGACCGTCATCTCGTGATGATATTTGAGGCTTCTCCACGAAAGTCGGAGAGGAAAAACCTCAAAAGTAGAAGAATAAGCAATGTTAACAAAAAAGCACATCTAGCTGCGCACCCGCTCTTTACAACGACTGTTAGAATGTGCACCAAATGCACAAGGGATTGGCAAAATACGAACAATTACACCAACCAAAAGTTTTTATGATGCATCATATCAATTTAAACAGGCTAACGATGCACTTAATCCGTGCGAATAAAGTGAAAGTTGACGAACCAGTGAGCTTCAAATTGAAGTTGGCATTTCCTTTTCCATGAGGGTTGACAATGGCACAGCGATAACCTCCTGCATCACTGTCAGCGAGATCCTGGAATCGAACGGCGCATTGAGGAGCACGCATCATGTTGTAGGTACCATAAAACGGTTTTCCCACTTTTTAAAGCTGCATATATTCTTCGCACTTAAGTATTCTCTCGCAGTATTAATCTCTACAGTAAGCTTAAACCTTCTACAATCTGCAGCACAAAGATCTGCTAGGAAATGACATTTCAGAACAAACGAACATTCTGTATTTGTGAGCCTTTTAAACAAAAACGAATGCGAAAATTATACTGTTCCCCATCATCTACTAGGTTTCGCGGAACATACCAAGAATTCATGATATCGTGCCGGTTGATCAAAGAAAAGTTCATCTTCCTTTTTTTCTTTGTTTCAGGCTGTAAAGCGTTAGAACGAGGCGTGTAAGTAGATTCCTTGAAGGGAGTTCAAAGCCAGATACTTGATATTACTTCCAACTCGTGAAGAAGTACAAGTTGAATATTACGTGTTGAATATTGATAGACTGTGTGCTCTTTGTATGGTCAAATAAGCAATGGAGAGGTAGCCGGATATTTTATGCGTATATGCGTGAGTAGTGTCTTGAACTGGACTACCTAGAAGCTTTCGGAAAATCCCGGTAAAAATCGGATACCAGATAAATTCCGCACAGACTATTCAGTTTTTGCTTGGTAAAAACTTCTGACCATTCATGCCCTGAAGCATGTGCCCTTTTCAATGTGAATCTGTGAATATGAAACAAAAACGAGTGAGCACCAAATAGCTCCCAAAGAAATGTAAGGGATATACGAATGGGTGGGAAAACGGTGGGAAAACCGTAGCGCAGAGGAGGGATATCACTTGCATATTATAGCTGAACGTTGTAATCAAACTAATTATTTCCCCTATGAATGAAATTACAAAGAAGAGTTTCATTCATCCGCTGTAGTTGGGAAAATGTTTTGTGCAAACAAAATCAATGATGAATCACCTTAATCTGTAGAATCGCAGAGTATGAATCATTTCCCTTAGAGTCTAGCTTGAACTGGAAGCGAGAGTCCTGCTTTACTTCTTTCTGAAAAATTAAGAAGTGCTCCAACAAATACTGCGGTATTTGAAAAAATACTAAACAGCAACGATTATAACCATCGGTGATAGAAAAAATTTTCTTGAATAGATCGGGAAGTTCCTTCCTTGCGGGCTAGCCATTGACAAGGATATTTGTTACACATTTCTGCGGGCCTTACACTCGCATTTAGACGCACTAATATACGTAAAATGAAGATGTATGTAATATGTATAATATGTTATAATATGATATTATACATAATACGTGAAACCGATAAAATATATGACCAATATATGACGAACGCGTCGGCTCTGAGCTTTCGGCAATTCATTAACATGATTAGAACAACACTGAAGCTCTTCTCTAACGCAGAAACAGTATTACAAATTTGTGTGAAATTTGTATCGGAGAGAGCCTGTAAGAATATCTACATCTTCAAGTCGTGTATACTCTTAGGGAACAATATGCTCCAATTGCGCAGCCAAATCAACAAGATCAATAGATATATTCGGTTATAGCTAAGCGCGTGGTACGGTCGGCAGCACATAAAGATGGCAACCTGTGGACTTGTACTGCACATACTCATTTGTGCCTCGACGTAGAGAGTGCCGAAGACCTGAACATGAGCTCCAAGATTCTCCGGAATTTTCAATGTGGAAACTTGTTCAGCAACGCAACTATATAACAACAATAAAAAGAACTTCCCAATAAGTTACCTATGAGTCAAAGCTGATTCATTAAGCTGTTTTGACAATGGAGTTGTTCTGAAGCTCGCCCCGTTCCGAAAGCAAAGCACTAGTTACAAGAAACTTCAGACAATCACGACTGAGTACGCGCAAAAGGGACGTTATCTGAGCCGAAATTACAAGCCCATTATGTTATCTGATTTTTTCTTGCTTTCTGAAGTCTTTGTACACTGCAAAGTCCCTGGTGTTAACGAAAATTGAAGGCTGAAATCTATATAAAAAGAAAGAGGGCAGAGATTTACACGGTAACGTACGTTGTCATAGAACCACTTGATATCGGGTTGTGGTGATGCGTCGAGAAAGCATTCGAGCTCGAGAGAGCCATCGTCATTCTGTCGAGCCACTGGTTGCTGGGGGAAATGTGGCGCTTTGCCCTCCGGCATGTTTCCTAAAAATTAACATTCTTGTGGACGACACCATTAGATTGCTGAGGAAATTTAGATAACAATTTTATTAATCAGGAACCGCACTAGAAGAAGATCCGACCAATTTCAAGAACAAAAACATGCTGAATCTCGCAGAAAGTCCTTATACTAAATCTCAGAATAACGATCTGTTGCTATCATATTGACCCAATACTACGAGCTCAGAGCAGGGTAGCTAGTTGATGAAGTACATCGCCAACAAGGTTGAGGTGGATGGAATGTATGAGACTGCGAAGAAAGCGGAGGAGGGGTAGCCAGCCAGCCAGCCAGCCAGCCAGCCAGCCAGCCAGCCAGCAACCCCCGCAGGCTCTTGATGTGTAATAAGCTGCACATCAGCGACAAAACAGTTCTGAAACCTTTTCAAGTTTACATCTGAGAGGAAGCTGCCCTAAAGTGGTTGACGAGGGTGTCTTAATAGAGATGAAACAATATTCAGCATACGTTATCGAGACATGAGATAGATAGTGGGCTTTCAATGAAATCGAGGGATGAAGTAGAGCGCAGCCGGTCGAGTGTTGACATTTATTGTTTGGATACCGCAAAAACTTGAAAGCTTTCTCCTAATCTCACCATAGTCTAGTTATTAGACAGAACATCTCCAATTTGATGGAACTTGACAACACAACCATTCAGCGAATGATGTACAATTTCTAGGCATCAGTGAAGCGTTGAATCACCTTACGCATTGCCCGACTGTTTCTACAGCAGCGACTACCCAGTTTATCTCTACACTAGTAAAATAGTATCACATGCGACAGCAAACTAGTTACATGTGTGCTTAAGCAAGACACCCTCATGCCTAGGCAACATCATCGCACAGGTCTGCCTTATCAGGCGCAGATGACAAAGAACGAAGTAGATGAATGCGAGAAGGTGATGTGGTGGTGGATAGTGAGTCCAACACACACTAAACTGAAGACGTTTGAGAGAAGGACGGGGATCAGCCCCGCGACTCGCGTATAGCTGCTGTTCACCAGAACGTTACAACACATTCGCCCACGCTCCATTGCGAATTATAGAAACAAACGCGTCTCCGGCAACTGGTGTGTGCACATCTAACGAATCGAAGCAAAACGAACACACAGCATGTGCGGCGATCGCCTCGATGGTGCCACTGAACCCCTTTACAACATGATAGAACAACTTTCCAGAACAAATCCTGTCGTACGCCATCAGATCGGTAAACTCGCAAGAAAATTGCGCGCGTTTCGTGGTGAGCGACGAACAGCAAACAATGACATCCGACGAGCAGTACACGCCAACGCAAAATGCCACCAACATCACGTCTTACAACAGTGAAAGCTGTGCGTACTTCACAAGGAGCTCTCCTCATTTTACCATTTTGAGAGTGTAAATAAGGTGATTCCATACTGCCCTTGACTGTCGAGCAATCCAAACCCATCAGAAAAGTGGGGTAAAACAACGAATCGAAATAAAGTGTGGTTCCACACAAGTCTTTATTTCAAGTTGAATGTATCCTAACTAGAGCATCACATCGCGTCATGCTGGCTAGAACACCATCTTTTCCCAACAACTAATGTCCACTTTTATTGTGCCAAATCAAGATCCAGAATTAGGTGAGTTCAAATCAGATCCAATGATGGTTCAAAGGGAATAGCTTTAACACCTACATTATCAGGAGATGAAACCCCGTACTGGATTAGCCAAGTTTCTCATTCCAGAGTTGGCCAAACTATATCGGACATCTCTGGCGTGTGTAGCTGATATTGTAATTCATCGTTTGGTTAACCAATATATGTAATTGAGTGTACCGTCAGAAGAAATAATGATTTCTCTTCATGTATTTCCACCCCATTAAGAGTCAAATAGTTGAATTTTACTTACAAAACTCATTCTAGATATACTCACTACTCCACCCGTTGTTTACCTCTTGCTACAATCAAAAACCATTGAACTTATGCCTTTTACCACCCAAAAAGAGACAACCTTGCAACAACCCTAAACTGCAAATTCCAGCTTCTCTGAAGTTCAGACGTCGATGGTGGCACGTAATATCACTTTACAATGCACACGTCCTCCTACACTTTCGCCAACTGCTGTCACGGATGTTGGCGCTGCCCACTGCTTATGAAACTGTGATACGACGAAATTCGCAGCCTTGGAACTACTGACTGGCTCAGCCCACCAACGAACATTATAACTATCGACAAAAAAAAAAGAAGCCTGCAGGAGCAAACGCCATCCGAATGAACTGTGAACCCATCGACAAGAACGAGAAACGGAGTGTTACATCATGATCAATCATGGAAAAGCGATTGTTCTCTATCAAGAGGGTTCTGTTCACACGCTCCAGCGTTTCAAAAAAAAAAAGCAGTGACCTCAAGCAATGAAATATACCTCGCTTTACGACCAATGCGACCTTACCACATTCAACATAGATTCTATTCGAAAGAATCTAGAATATAAGATAATGTCGCCTAGATATGAAAATGAATCTACCTTTCTACCTCTTGATTTCTCCTATTCTGACGTTAGAACAGAAATAAGCCAGAAAGCCATCAACTGATCCATATGAAACTCAAAACAGGCTTTCAGTCGAATCAGCACCTATCCAGTAGAATACAAGAAAGTGGATAATCCAGAAAAACGCTCCAACATATAAATATACACAGGGTGTTCCAAAATTATGGGGGCATAGAATTGCATTTGAAGCTTCGCAGCTGAGAATAACAATGGAATCTATACGCAGGTTTGCTTACATTATGTGCAACGACAATTTACAATTACATTTCAATATATCAGGGGTAGAGGCCCAGTGTTTGACCCGAACTCTCGGATTTTACACGCAGGTACCCCCTCCCCCCTTCACTCCTTCCCAGCCGTTCTTGAGTCGTGATTCCAACGAATCCAAGGTGGGATGGCAAACCTAACAGGTTCTTTTCTGATCAGGTACCAGACTCCAAAGTCAAGTGCGAAAGTAGGATCTGAAGAGGAGGATAGCCATTCCTCGGTGCTAATGAAGTTGGGCAGCTAGCGTCAGCACCGCTCTTAGACGAGTTTGACTCTGCGGGCTAGATAACGGCGCTGCTGGGAAAACCACGAGCTCTTTCGGGAAAAGGATATGGATATTGCTTCAGTATGTCCACCAGTATGTTCTCTTAGTGCACTTCTTTGTAAATTTTCACGCTGATATGGAAGAAACCATCGCCATTTTACCATTACCCGTGACTCCCTCAATGAACATCAATTTGCTGGTGTTATAGAATCTTATCGTGTGAGGTTGTAATCTCGACGTTTCTAAGCAGAACGCGATCGTTCTTCGTGTTGAGGATTGCCTTCGTCGTGAAAATTTTCTCGTCAGAGAAAAAACCAAGGGATGCGTATTTCCAGTGGAGCGGCCACCATCCTCCCGCTTTTTTTCGACGTTACCTGTCAGTTATGATCGGAAACGAGGTGGCATCTCTACATGCGATCGAAATGGCATCATCGACCCGGATAAAGTCCTGCTCTCGTTGCCGTCCTTTCGATCGGTCACGTAGGATTATCATCGACTCGCAAACGGGCTGTTAATAAACCGTCTTTGGAAACATTGGCCTCTCCATCCCTAGCAAGTACCTCTTTGATTTATTCTGCTTCTCTGTAAGTTCTATAGCCTTATGTGGAGCCATTAATGGAATCACACGGTCACCAATGGAAACACAAGAAGTTTTTGATGACTTCTGTTCTGGCATAGGAATTATTGCAAGGTGCATAAATAAGCCTAACCCTCTCAGAGATATAGGGGATGATAGCAAGAAAAACGTCATTTTCAGCTAATTCATGACGAATGAAGTGGAACTGAAAAATTATTTTTGGCTCAGAAGTTCCTGACTCTTGCCCCCTCCCTCCACAGTTTTGGTACACCCTGTCAATACTGCGTTGAATGTGATCAAATAAATGTTAAACGTGCGAATGTTCATTTCGTTAAGAAAGAATGCAATGAACCATGAGCGCTAAATCACATAGCCAGCATGAAGAAAGGGGAATACTCAGAGTTGAGGAGTATGGGACCAACGACTAAAATGAAGGTTATGCTATAAGCGGAAGAAATGGAGACACAACCTCCGATTACAATGGTATGTCAAATAGAAAGAAATCAGGTGATTAAGAAAAATAACTGTCCATGATTGGAAAACAATAATCTGCCTTTCGTAATGTCATGTGAGTGTAGAGTAGTACTCTTCAATGCGCTTTTCCATTAATGAACACCTCTATCACCTGTCGTTCCGTTAATCACCGACTCCCTCAAGCGGGAATCAGTAACGTCTCCATCCGTCCCTGTCACGAGCCGGAGCGGTTCAGTGAATGTTCCTCGCTTCAGAGGCACAAGGTAAATTCCTTTCGTTGAGAGCTTCCGTGAGAAAGTCTGACCCTCGTTAACGGCCGTCCTGGAGTTCGTTTGATGTCCCGAGGGATCCAATTAGTAACCACCCTGATCCAACGGTTCTCACCGCATCATATAACGTGTCCGGCTTGCCTGGTCTTCTATTTCGTGGCGTAATCGACGGCATCTATGATATTCGTTCGATGACGGAGCTCGGAACTCCGGATTCCTTTCTGCACTTGCGTGTATAGGCAAATTCCGGGCATCGTCCTCTCCAAAACGTGTTGAGCAACGCTGGCAGCATGCTCATTCTGCTTTCGTAGAGGCCAAATTTCCGAGGCGTACATCAAAGCAGGAAGGACAGCAGTGCCGAAAAGGTGAGCGCGGAGCTGGATGCTCTTTTTCTTCTTCACTACTCCCTCGATATTCTTAGATGCTCCCCACGCGGTGCTGCGCAGCTACGGAGTTAGGTCGCTTATGCTGACTTCCCAACCTTGATACACATAGCTAGAGCATTCGGATATATTCCCTCCGTTTAGAGTGAAGGGAGCTATTGAAAGTCTTACATGCCACTACTTCTCGTGTAGCAACACCTTTCACATATGCAACGAAAATTGATAAGTACGTCCTTCTATTGCAGCGGGCTTTTCGCTGGTGTTCTTAACATTGTTGTTGAAACTGATTGAGGTGTTTAGTGGTGACATGCACACATACATAAGTCTCAATATACATTTGAATTTCCCAAAAATCAGCAGGGAGACGAGAGGGATCTTATATAGATATTAAGGATATATATATATATTACTATATATCTTATATAGGTTGATCAAAATTGGAATGGAAGAGGCAAAATGAAAAGGGCACTCGTGAAGTCAGCATAGCTCTCAGAGTGTCTTCCGCTCGAGATAAAAAAAGCGAATTTGGTTTCTACGTCTTTACAAATACAAACTTGGCACGAAATTCATGAAAATGGCCGACAAGATCAACATTGTAGTTGGGAAGGTTGCTTCCACAGGCTCATTGTCTGTGTCTGTCTGAAAGCTTCGACAGAATATTTACCCTAACATCAGTCACAGCGCCGCTTCCGATGACGTACATGTTCACAAAGAACTTGAATTGAATTCAGATGCAACTACTCACAAATTGGACATAACATTAGTATGCACAGTGAGGCAGTCAAACTATACGGTTCTAAGTACTGAAAAGAGCAAAAAAATTTCCAGCCATATACCGCAACTATTACAAAAACATAAATGAAAATTTTGCTTCAAACATTAAACATTCAAATTTGCGCAAATCAACATTTCAAATATTTTTTTGAGTATGACTCCAGTAAGGCCGCAACCAGCATTTTGAACACAGTATCTAACTCTCATACTGAAACCCTCACAGACACGTCTTAGCACCACCGGTGTTATCGCACGAGCTTCTTGTTCAATCCGAACTTTCGAATTCTGCACCGTTGTTGAACGGGTCTCAAAAACCTTCGACTTGGATGTCCTCGAGGAGCGCGAGGCGCCAGAGGAAAATGCCGGCAGATTGTAGGCGTATGTAACTTCGGCCATTTTTTAAATACGCTGCAACAGCGGAACCTTGCCGTTCACCAGTCCAGTGATGCATGGATACTTATTTCCAAATGTGGAGAACGGTTGAGACACCGCCCACTTCCCTCACAGCACATCTCCTCACTCTACCAGCTTCGTTAATCGTGCGATTTAACTGCTCCACACCAAGAAATAAACATCCTTTTCTGCTCGAATTGAAATTTCCATTTACGTTCACAAGCTTTGTTGCAATATTTGACTGGAAAATGCTTGTGTGTCTTTCTATTACTCAGAATCGTGCGATTGACCGCCACTATGCAGGTTCAATACACCGCTATTCATCACCGCTGTATAACCCTTTGACGACCATGGAACTCGCCGGTGGGTGTCACTATGACTGGCGCATGGTACCATGGCACCCAAGTTGGGTACCACCATGTTTTTCCCTTTATTCGCACATTTGAGACTTATTTAATATTTCCATATTTGTTACCAAACTTCATGGTATTTGTATTCAACATGGTCCACCGTGTATTTTTTATTGGAGCTTATTTATTACAAACATATAGTCAATGGAGTAGTACTGAAACGGTTTAGATACTTTGGCAGGGTTTGTGTGTGCTCTGAAAGCATTGGAGGCAGTACTTAGGGTACCTGATTTGCGATTATGTGACCGCGCGGTCTATCTCTTCATCCTCAAGTTACTTGGATATTATACGAATTCCTACTGCTTACACTATTACAAAAATTCTAACCTACATTGCTTCCAAACCCGAAGTGCAATTATAAGCCTCAGTCTTATATAAGATAAAATAAGATCTGGCGCTTCTGTTATGCGGAAATATTGCTAGGACCCAGAGAAAGGAGTTTCTCCTGGGACCAAGGCACTCACCGCTGGGTGAAAGTCGCGCACGAATCGAATCGAGTGGGACGGCAGCGTTGGTGTAACCGCAGAAGGTTTGTTTCTCGGTTGGAATCTTTTGGTGTTCAAGTTTCTGGGAGCTGTTGGAACTGTGCTAGCGCGTTTAGGCGCTTGGTCGGGTAAGTCATAGATCAGAAGCTCCAAACTGCTTTCGGGTCCTTGAAGACAACAAGATAGTCGAAACGTCGACTAAATAAAGCGGTTTCTACCATAACAAACCTGTACGGCAAAACACTACAAAACATTATGCAACATGCCCAGGTTTCAAGAAGACCGAACGTGGAAATTTACTACGAAATGTACCGCCGCATGTTTTCGGTCTAGTTAGAGAAGCTCTCGCTCTCCGACAGAAGATCGTGCCCACCCGTCAATCGCTGCAATTCCTTCAGCGATGCAAGTCGACCGTTTCCAAGGTTCATCACGAATAAGAGGCTAGGATCATTATGTAATCTCAAAGAAGATCACCTTAGGATCGTAAACATCTACCGTGATATCCTAGGCGTAGCTGTTAAACAGAAGCAGTACATATCGTATTCTAGCTTATTGAAATGTAAAGCGAAGGAAGAATCTTGTAGACGGCTACTGCCAGATCGTTGTTGGAAGGCGATTGAACGTGGTTCAAAGGAGGTCCGTGACTCTATACGATCTAGGGCAAAACCGACGCTATGCACTAAGTACAACACCCTGAGGAGCGAGCAAAACGGAAATGGTTCCAGCAATCAGGTCAGCTCTTCTACGAACCATCTCTGCGCAGCTAGGACCACTCAACAAGTGAACGATTCGCGAAATCAGGCACGAGTTACTGTTATAGGCGGCACATCATTATCGGAGAAAGCTCTGGATTTCCTTAGTCTTGAGCCTTCATTTTCAATCGCCCAAGGGATTAGACCTTCCACGTATCGCAAAGCGGCAACAGGGCTTAATCGTTTGAGAGATCAGCTTAGAAAGAGTGCAGTGCGCAGAGTCCCAGCGTACTAGCACAGAATCTATGCTAGCGCCCATTCCATTTCCATGTTCGTTCTATAAAGAATCAGAACGTTTGCCCATACAAGACATAAAATTTCGGGTACTTTCATCAGGAGCACTTGAAATTTTCAAAAGACAAGGTCGCGAATGGTTTTCAAACATGACGAACGATCAATGGGATGGTTTGCGAGAGGTACGAAAACGCGTAGCAGATGGTAAAATCCGTCTTTCCGTAAGTGACAAAGGAGGAGAGTTCATGGTTCTACCCTGTTCACTGGATCCGGAAATCACGGAGCTCCACCTTAATGATGCTTCTGTATACGGTCATTCCACGGAAAAGGCGTTTCTCACACAATGTCACAGGCTGAATACTTTGTGGGTATCAATCGGGAGGACAGCAAAATTGGATAGAATGTTGATTAGAAAACTGAACTTGGATACACTCTCATGCCTGGTTTTCTACAGCCTGATCAAGACTCACAAGTTGTCCAATGGAGGTGAAAAGTCAGCAAATGCTAGTGATTACAAAATTAGGCCTATTATCAGCTGTGTAGGAGGACCAACGGACTGCATTTCCAACATTGTTGGTCAACTACTCCGATATGTACCCTCACATTTGCCTAACACCAATGAATTTCTTGTTCGCCTACGTTAATGTAAGCTTCAAGAGAACTGCGTAGTAGAGTCATTCGATGTAACTGCGCTTTATACGAACGTCAACAACAATGAAGCTCTCTAAGCGGTCTCCAAAATGCTGGACGAGCATGAAACAGAAATTGTGACGTTCGGATTGAGCAAGGTTCATATTATGGCTCTAATCAAGGAAAACCTTAATTGTAATATTTTCAAATGGAGCGGACAGCACTTCTCACAAAAGCGAGGACTTGCTATAGGTCAGCGTCTAGCACCGTTCTTAGCTATCTGTTTTATGAGCTGAACAGAAAGGCCAGCTATAACGCGCACGCCCATTATGTACTGTCGGTACATCGATGACTGCTGCGCAATTACATCAACGCAGCAAGAGATGGACGTATTGTTTGACATCCTCAACCGACAGTCACAATATATCAAGTTCACGAGAGGAAATCCGCACGAAGGCTGGCTTCCTTATCTGAACACGCAGATCAAGTTCTCAGGTGAAAGGTATCATGTGAAGTGGTATCGAAAAAACAGCTCTAAGAACATCTTACTCGACGCAAAGTCTGCTCATCCTGAAGCTGTGAAGCGTGCAGTAGTTCGTAACATGTACAGAACGGCTACAGGAATGTGTACAGGCGAAGTGGAACGAGAGGAGTCACGTAAGCTAGCATGCGAGATCGCAAAGTTGAATGGCTATGGGACACAACGCAGAAAGGTCAGGCTTAAAAGCTTAATCGCTGAGAAACCGTGAGAATGTGATGCATCGCCGACTTCCATTTATATCGGATAAAGTCAGCGCAGAAATTCGACAATGCATTGCTCGAGCGGATCTGGCTAATGATGTTGTCTTGGTAAACCTACCAATGGACAATATCAAACGTCTTCTTATCCGCAGTAGACTTTATGATCGTGCATGTTCTACAAATAACTGCGTTATTTGTCCGTTTGGAAAGATGGTGATTGCACACAGCGAGGGACAGTGTACCAACTCCAGTGTTCGGCCTGTGACGGAATATATATTGGTGAGACGGGAAGGATGCTAGGCATACGTGTCAAAGAACATCTAGCAGGTAAAAGGCGTGGAAGCCTTTTCACACCACTTGAGGAGCATCGGATAGAAGTACACGAAGGCAATGATTTTGATATTAAATGCAAAATCCTAGCCTACGAGAACGAGATCGGTGCTAGAAAGATCTTGGAAGCGTTGCAAATCCGCGAGAGAAATCCTAAGCTGAACAACCAAAATGAGTGCATTGCCATAACAGGCGAGTTTCTGCCATTCATTCCTCTCTGTGGGCTTTAAAAACACCGTGCAACTCTTATACAACGACGTCAATGGTGCCTCACTGGTCCCTTGTTGTTCACCGAACCAAGTGGGACGGCAGCGTTGGTAGAACGCAGAAGGTTGGTTTCTCGGTTGAGATGTTTTGGTGTTCAGGTTTTTGGGAGCTGTTGCAACTGGGCTAGCGCGTTTAGGCGCTCGGTCGGGTAAGTCATAGATCAGGAGCTCCGAACTGCTTTCAGGTCCTTGAAGACAGCAAGATAGTCGAAACGTCGACCAAATAAAGGTTTCTACCATAACAAACCTGTACGGCAAAACACTACAAAACATTATGCAACATGCCCAAGTTTCAAGCAGACCGAACGCGGAAGGGGCGTGGCCCCATGGGCGCGTCACGTCGAAATCGGCATTGTCGTCAAAGGAATAAGCGATCGACAAGTTCTGTTTAGACCGGCACCATTTGCAGTTCATGGAGAGGATTCGACTGCTGGCCTTTGCCTGAAGTTTTGTGGATTGCCTTTAGAGAAAGAACTTCTAAAATTAAATGCTATGAACAACGAATTATGGAACAATTTTTAGAGCTTACAACCGCAGAGTTCTGTCTTATTTTTTGGATTCTCAGAGTTTTTCTTAATGTAAATTATTGGTAGGGGCTAACTACGCAATCTCTACATCAAATAACTGCAGAAGATAGCTTCGGTAAGTCACGGAAAATGCCAGAAACTTCACGTCTTGTTTCCCTAGGGTAATACAAAATTCAGGCTCATTTTGCAAAACTGACTTGTCTATGTCAAGAAAGCAGGTAAACTGTGGAATAGAATCTCACAAGAAACATTCGTCAAGCTAACTTCCGTTCGACTATAAGTTTCGGCAAGCTCCAAAGCTGCAGTTGCGCAGTATTAAACAAACTGAAACTAAGATTTTCAAGTTTTCCAACATATTCACTTGCATCAGATTAATTTCGAGAAAGCATTAATACCTAGTGAAATGCGGAACATTTCTACTCACTAACTTTTTGAAGTCTTAGATTAGGGTCAAAAGAATTGAAATATACCTGTGAATATGTGATTGTTGTCTACGTCAATAAATGAAATGAAATGAATAAAAATACAGCAAAGGTCAACCGCCTAAGGAGCAGACAGCCTGCACTCGAATGGACTATGGTCTTTAATGACTTGAAAGCAGTGGAATACAGTTGCAAAAATACTTCTGCCTGAATATTCTAAAAAATCCCCATGAACAGATTTGATCCAATTCATCCCTTAACGGAAGCAGCTCTTGCCCCTTCTGAGAGCTAGTTCCAATTGAAGCTTAACCGACTTACGCAATTTAAAATCGAAGCGTTTTTCCATATGTCCCAAGTTGTAGGACTTCAAGTTTGTTGTACGATCCAGCGAAACATTTCATAGTAATAAGTCTTGTGATGATCCGCAACGTGCTTTCACCCAGCTGTTGGTACAGTGCCCGGGTTAACAACTTCCAAGGAACATGTATATTTCAATTCAAGCTTGTGGTATATTATTTGATTTGGCAATGAATGATCAAGCATAACAGGGACATATGCTGCATCTGGGAGACGGAACATTCGTACGTCCGAAGTTGCGCGGCGATATTCATGACGAATTGAACGACTTTAACGTCCATCACTGTGACTAATTTGAAGTAGATCAGATCAGTAGGATCAGCTCAGCATCAGCTGATCCTGGTATCTATCTTTACCTGAGCCTGTGGCCCAATGATAGGCACTAGAGACCTCAGAATCGCCACGAATTTAGCCGTGCGCTCGAAATCGAAGTGGCGTAATGAATGCGTATGTGGCCTACACAATAATTTGCGAAGGCCAGCCGATGTACAAGCCACTGCTTTCATCCTCCTAGCCGAGCCTGGTACCAATTACCTGATCCCAGAGGGATGGAAGGTTTTGTTAACCTTTTGACAACAGTGGCACCCACCGATGGGTGCCATTATCACTGGCACATGGGACACTGGCGCCCAATTATGGGAGGTACCATACTTTTTGTTTCTTACCAATTTCTGAGTTCAGTGAACCACAAGAAAGAATTTTCTCTTGGAACAGTGCCACCGGTGAATGCGAGTCGCGCGCGAAAGGAGGGGAGCGTGGTCCCATGGGCGCGTTACGTCGAATCCGCATTGTCGTCAAAGGATTAACTCAGGAAAATTATAAATACATATAATAAATATATGAAATATTAATAAATATAAACGAAAATACAACTCGGTTTAGGACGCAAAAATGCAGAAATGTGTAGCCATCAACTCAAGCACGCGTTTGCTCATTCTAAAAGACGTCACCACTGAAATGTTTGCCATATCAATAAAAGCCTGCTGTTTCTGTAACTGTCACGTCAGGAATCAAGGAGAAAGAGTTAGCTCTTCAAACACTGGTTGTACCATGAGAAAGGTTCTCCAGTTCAGCGGGGAAGAGGAAGAACTCAAAAGCCATAGGTGAAAACAAAATCTAAATAAACAGTGCAAATGGCTGGCTAAATATTAGCAAGTACTGCACTACGATGGAATACCGTAAAGACACGATTGAGACCACGCTTTCACTGGCATTACGACATGATCATCGAATTGATGCTAAAATGAATGCCGATAAACGAGTGGTGCTACGACCTGTAAAGACCGCTTATGTACTGGCTTACACGACCACCGTCAACCTCGGAAGGGTAAGTTAACGTTTTTGTTGCCTGCTCTGCAACCACATTGCTGCAGCACCTCTGAAACCCGTAATTATCTCACGTGAATATCTCATGAAAGCACTAGAATTGGAGTTGGACGTAGAACCACTCGTTTCACTTCAATGTTTACTTGTATTTTTGGCCGAGGCAGTGGTTTGTGGGAAACTCGAAACAAAGCTCATCTGCGAAATTACTTCCATTAAACGTTAGGGTTTTGGTTGTCCTGTGTTTAAAGAGTACTCGAAGTAAATCAGCCAGTAACGTTCTCTGCCAACAACATATTTTCACCAACTTATTTTTTTCCCTTCTTCCTTGACTAGTTCAAGCTAAGAAGCGAAGCTAGAGTCTTTAGGCGTGCATTCCGACATCTGAGCTTGACCGTAAGTTAATTCACACACCACTTCTACTGCTGGTAAAAGAGCGGTTGAAGGGAACTGCAGCCACCGAGCGTAAACGCCCCCGTGTTTGACACGCACGGCAAGGATGGTGGAACTTCTCCCCGAATCCCCACGGCCATCGGCAGTAGTTCCGCGGCAACTGTTGTATCCTTCCACTGGGAATTTAGCGCTTTTCCTCTATAGCGTGATTGAGTGCTGTGAACGCGACACTCCTTCCGGGGAAAAGATACCAGACAGGCACGGCACACAGGGACTGCTTCTCCCTCTGATGCTCTGACCGAGAGAGACTCTGGCCAACAACACCCGTGTAATCCTGTGAACACATTGTGCACTTTCTCTCCGGCATAATCGGTTGGACACATGCTACTTCCTCACGAATTGGACGACGCCCTCGGTTTTCACTAGGCCAATTCAATCAGTCAGCCAATAAGTTTACCCTGCCACTAACAAGGAAGGTCTTTCAGGGCCTGGGACGCTTTTTGAAAATGGTTTTTTGCATGGTGTAGGGGCATGACCACCGAGTATATAACTATGGTCCATTTCCGCTAAATGGCCTTCTGAATGCCAAAAAAGGAGTGAAAATGACTTCGCCAGAAATTGCCGTTCTAACCCACCAAGCGTCGTTCGTTACAGT